AAGGGTTCCTTTGTCAAATTCGGTACAATCTGGAAATCTCTCAAGGGAATGTGGAACATAGGAGAGAAATGTGGATTGTCTGCTAATATCAAGAAATGTTACAGAGAGCTGAAAGAGGGCCCAGTCAGAGTTATCAAGCTGAAGATTAAAAAGTTTTTTTCTGCGATCGAGGCGCTCAACTGATAATCTTCCTAAATCTGATCCTCAAAGTCGATTCGCAGATGGAGTTGGCTCAGCCATTGCGAGTGCCTTGAAGTGGAACTCAGATGTAATGGACTGGCTTGCCTATACTGGGAGAGTTGAAGATCCAGAAAACCTGGAAATTGTCGTCTTATTAGCTGATAAGAAAGCCCTGGGCATCGCCATCACATCCACTCCATCCGTCCACTTCAACAAGCGTATCAATGAATTTGCCTCAGCTGTAAAACAGGGAGCGCTACCTTTGAAAGTGGATGGACACAGTGTCTGGGTGAAGAGCTTGGCGTCGTGTTCTGATAAAGCCTGCACCAGCATCCAGACACTGGCAGTGTCACACAAGCCTCCAAACTGGGGGAAGACCTTGGCTCCATGTTCTGATAAAGCCTGCAACAGCACCCAATTGAATGGTGCTGCAGAGATCTCAAGAGGTAAAGTTTTCTTGTTTGGAACCATCGCTGTGTTGGTCATGATGATGAACAAATTGCTTTACTAAAAAGATACTTGCGTCTTTCAAGAAGATAGATTAAGTTCTTCGGTTTATCGAGCGTGAAAACATAGACTTATAATGCGTAACAGATGGTCTGTCTCACGCTAGGTTTTGTGCTTAATGCCTTCGAGCTGAAACTTTTCGAGACTTTTGGATGGTAGTTGCACTATTACGCGTTGCTAAAGGTAGCGCAGAATCTATTTGCCGAGCAGGTGTGAGACGTTTCATGAGAGGTTACTCGCAAGTTACGGTAGCTTATAATTCGATAAAATTAGTGTCTCTTATATTCTTTCCATTAGAAAGACAAATAGATAGGGCACCGTTGTTTCCCTGATAAAAAGTGAGTAAAAACAGACTCACCTTTATCCAGATTAGTTTATGAATATTATATAGGGATTCAATTATATGAAGTAATATAATCTTCTTATACCTGCATATAGTCACGATTTTCCGTCTAAGTTGCCTTTTTCGATCCAGTGTAGAACTGTAACTGCAACAATTCTGCTATTTCGAATTTTCTTATTCAAACAAAGTAAAAAAACGTTATTATATAAGCGTCTTAGACTGTTATAACCATTGTTAACCATTAAAAGTATTTAAGCATTATAAAATTATGAATGAGTTGTTCCTTGCGCAGTACTCGTTTTCAAGAACGCCGCACCCCCCCCCTCTCTACATCGCCCGGGATGTTACTTGAGCCAAGATCATTTTCCGACGTTTTCGATCTTCTACGGGGTAGACAGGCTTGCCATTGACTGCTTTTTGCTTATGTTTTTTCATTCGTTTCGTCGGGTTGTTACGTTTTGGTTATTTTGGTGTTTTAACTTGTTTGGTTTTTTCGTTTTGCCGTTGCGAGTGTTGGCAGACGCCCTGACGAAGGACCAACGCTAGACAGGTCAAAGAAACTCTTTAGGGTGGATGGTTTACATCATCAACTCAGTTGATAAAACCAAATAAACTTGGAGTACCCCCCTTCCCCTCCCCTCCCCTCCCCGCTGACGCAGAAGAACCACTAACAGTTTCTTTAGATCAACTTACCCCTTTAGTATTGTACAAAGACAGATTACTTTTGATCGGCCGGGGCCCAATTGTTACAAGCTCAATTCCAGCAGTTCATAGTCTTCCTTACATAATTGCCTATGGATGTTATTCCAATGATGCGCAAAGGTTTTATTTTAAGTCTGTCATGCACCATGAGAAGAGTTATCTAAGATTACGATCGATCACATGGCCTCCCTCAATTGTCATGCATCAACATTTGTCTACACGCATGACATTGTGATGCCAAAATGAAGTTGATGTATATAGGTATGTATAGGTGTAACAAACAGTCAAGGCATTTAAAGTCAGTATATATGAATGCATTGACTGATGAAAAGCGATTCTATTTTAAACACAATATTAAAGTGGATAGTTTTGTTAAGCATTTATCAGACTAATATGTCTATCTTGACCTTGGATTGAATCCAAGCCACCTTAGTTAGTTTTAAAGTCAAAATTTCATTGTTTATTTTCTATTCGTGAGCGACTACTAAACGACGGCGTTACCAACCATTCTGTCATGCAAACAACCGGTCAAATCCCCCGAGAGTATAGAGATCGTGCGCAAGGACTTATGGGAAGGAAATAAAGAGGAAGGAAATTTTTTTTCAGTCTATGAATCAATTCTACCCCCCTTGGGCAAGAGTTTACATTCTATTGCCCAGCGTTAAAATAAAGGGAAAAAAAGACAGCTTTTTTATTTATCCTCTAGTCTTGAGGAAAAAGAAAACTAGTTAATAAAATTCAGTTTACAGGTATTATACGAACAGCTCTTATTACGAGATATTGAACCCAAAAGCAAGGCAAAAAGTTACAGAACTGAATTTAACACACATTATATGTTTATCATTGGTTACAAACTCCTTAATATAAGCTTTCGGTTGGTGGTTACAGTTACACGGTAGGATCTGGGTACGAGATTAATAATTTGGTACCTAAGGGACCGGGTCCGGACCAGTCAATATTATTTACCGGGGGAGGGGGGAAGCGGAGGATGTTTGGGGAGGATCACGCAGTTTTTTAGAGGAACGGAGGGGGGATCGGTGGTCATTCACAGGGCATAAACGGGGGGGAGGAGGGCTATAGAAAATTGTCTGCGTATGATGGGAGATCACTAGAATATCACCCCCCGGGCGATGAGTAATGAGTAATAATGGTCTCTAATTAAGAGGTGAACGATACTTATCGCTCTCATTTCAAATAAAAAAAACCTGTATTACCAGTAGTGCTGTTTTAAGCCAGTAGAATACTTCATGAGCGGAATACTTCACTATCAAGATGTAGTCATCACGACAAAGCGTGCTTTTCTTCGCCCGCGGGAAAGTATGACGCCTTGAGTAACACGAGCCGGTCAGTGGTGACCTAGAGCGTAACTCGCACTTCGCGCCTCCTCACGCTTGACTCGCACTTCGCACTGATATTTGTTATCGTCTGCTATTAATCACTGTTAGGCGAGGCACTGAAATTTTAAAAAAAATATATCATTGCCTTTTCTTAACCTATCTCAGTACTAATGACTAGATTATGGTTGAAATTCATCATAACAGCTTCAGGTACTCAGTCAAAAAAGGTGCAAATCTGTGGGGATTTTGAATTGAATAAGAGATTCATGCAGATTAAAACATGATCACGAGCCAATCATTGTCGGGAGGAAAGCAAACATTCAAAGGCAATGTCCGTCTTTCTAGGAAACTGGAAAAATAAGCTGAGATTTTATCATACATAATCTCAGCAGGGGGGTGGGGTGGTGTTCAAGAGCATATGAGCTGCTAACTTCCTACCTGAGGCAAAAGCAGTCGCAAAGGAACAATCCATCTTTGTTTCTTACAGGTAATATGCCTCTGCAACTGTAAATGATTCGCTATCTGAGATAAATTAGAAAAGATAGCTTGTGTACCAGGCTTCCCCTAATGTCCCCACCCCCAACTCCACAGAAGTAGAAACACCTGTACTAATAATTGATTCGAAGAAGAGCCATTGCTTACTCCAAACTTTGCCAGAGACGATCGACGTTGGCGGAGTCACCGTGCGTTCTTTGGATTAATTGTAAAAGCTAATTCGGTAAGTAGTGTTAGATAAAATATAAGCGAAATGATTTCAATTTGGTTAGCAGTGGATGTAAGTTAAGCGGTCTGACACGCTCAGAGGGATACCTAATACTATTTGGAGGCGACGGCTTGCAGAGAGGATTTTGCTTTGGATCGACGATCAATCTTCATTTCTTTCCATATAAAGTGTCTCGTAGATCAAGCCATTCTAATAGGGGTTTTCGGAGGTTTCACGACGGGGATTTCAAAATTTATATCAGTTTGTACGCTCACGATAAGGTGCAATTCGCGATGTGCTATTGAACAGCGCAGTTTGAAAGGTACTGCATAGAACATTTAAACACATCATGCTTTGAAAACACAAAGTCGTTCAGACCTTGTACACCGCTTATTATATATGCTTCAATGAAACTAAGTCTATATTACAGCTGGAGAACATGATCATAATCCAACCGGGGAAGGATGTCACGATACCGTGAGTTTAAAAGTAGCTACACCAGGCCTCTTTGATTTTCGCAATCAGCCATAGTCTTTTATAATTCTGCTTCATTTCATCAATCTATACTTGTGTTCTGCGTGGGCTGTTGTCAGAATTCAGTTTTAAAAAGTAATATTGCGGGTGCAGCATGGAATTTCATTTCCTCGAGCTAATTTCGCCATGCGAACACTGTAAACAGCTCCTCAGTTGAAAATATTGTGCTTTTTAAATTGCAGTGAAATTTAAGACGATCTTTTCATGAATTAGCTTCTCACGTGGCTTCGAGTTTTAAAAAAATAATTCAATTTACTGCAAAGTTTTCGGCGTGTGCGCTTGCTATAAAATTATTTTGGTCAATGGTTCAGACGACACTCTTTGTAATTTCTTGTGGCCTTGACATATTTACTGGTCGGTTGCAGAAATCGGCTAAGTGGGCATGATACGTGCTTATTTTACCTTTAAGACCTCGGGTACTCAAATAAATAGCGAATCGAAAGACCTTGAGCATATATCCTTTGGTACGTCGTCGAAAATTACCTCGCTTTCTGGACTTTTGTTAAGTGGTAGCACGGTTAATATATTAGGTGCCTGGGCTTGGAGAAAAATCGAATGAGAGATGGATTACGGCCAGCAGAGCTGCAGACGAACTAGGTGTCATTTGTCTTGCCTGAGATTAATACAAGCAAACAATGCATTTCTAGGAAACTACGGAAGCAACAGCGAATTTCCGGTTCCAAGCTTACGTCTCGAGAAAAGCAAACGATTTTAAAATCAATGAAAGCGTTACGCGCTGTGTGACGTGGGGTTAAGTTACGTTGAGAATTTGAACACGCTGTAAGGAATAGTACGGGGAAAGAAATATGGTCGATCTACAACGCGAAATATTTCGGGATATGAACATTCTACACGTAAGGATAATAGAACTTACTCGCTCTTTGTTTGTCCATTGTGGTTTGTGGTGTTCTCTGCCGCTTTTGGCTTGCTTTTCCACCGCTGTCACTCCTGTTATAAGACAGAGTTATGCTCTCGTGAAATAATCTTTTGCTTTTCCACGAGACGTGACACCTGCGGTATATGTTCACCGACGGGAGGGGTTCTTGGGGACGTTTCGATACCGTCTCTACAGTAACAGTTACTTCAAAGGGAGTCTTCAGCACTCGATCTCAGTTTTTTTTTTCTTGGAGATAAATCACAACCTCAAATCTACATAGAAAAATACCCTAGTTGAAACAACCGTACGGAAGTCTGACCGGGTTTCACGGGCGCCGGCTTTCACGGGCGCCAGCTTACACGCGCATGGATAATTAAATTTGAATAGGCAGCGGGGCAACGTGTAGCTGAATACTTCGTATTTTCAAGGTTGAAATCAATTCATTGTCTGGAACATTTAACAAAGGAAAGCTTGTAAGATTATGAATAATCATTTATTTTGTGCATGCGGGAGAAATGAAAATAGAGCGCGCTGACCGTTTCCGAATTGACAGATCTTTTAAAGGAGTAGCAGCAACCTCCCTCTCATCGGCAGAAATTAATTGTGGCTTTTGGATTCGCTTGAGGTACTAGCTTTGGTGGCTTTTTTTCAAACCCATTGAAGTTTGCCGACTCGTTGGAAAGGCAAGAATTTTTACGAGATTTCCGGTGGTCATTTGATCGGCGACTTGGAAAATCGCCATGAAACGTAATGTTGTGTTCTACGACTCCATTCGCGGGACAAAGTGGGTGACCGGAGCGGGGATGGTAAAAGCATTTTGTCTGCTCGGGCAACCAATCAAAACACAGGATTCCTTTCATTTGGCCTGCCCGTGGAGCCGGCTATAAAAAAGAGAAATATTGTATACATTAGAATGCAGAAAAAGTTGTTGCCATTAGATGTCTAAACAAATGGCAAAGTATCATTGAGTCTAAAGAGTGATATCAAACACGGTAACATATTAGTATGTAACAAACAGTGCTTGAGCTCTAACTAACAATGAAGAAATGTTGGGGGTTTCTTAAATCGGTGCTCGCAGCAACACTATAGTAATACAGTAGAGCCCCACTAATTCGAACACGGTTAACACAAATCCCCCGCTATCTCAAATAAGATCAGATTTCCTCAGGGTTTACCCCATTTTTCCAGTCATTTATTATCAGCTAACTCGAACTCGGTTTAGTCGGACTTCCCATGGATAACTCGCAAAAATGGCCTCGTTACAGCAAAGTAAGCGGTGAGACAATAAGCGATGAACTGTGAAAGTAAGGTAAGATATCTTTATTGAGAATTTTAATGTATTTTTACTTTCTAAGAGCGGTCGTAAATATTCCTATACAGACTCCTATATTTTTGCCATGACTCTTATTTCGCAAGATGATCATCTCACAGCTGGAGCCTGGGCTGCCTTTGCTAGAGCAAACTAAATGTACCGAAATTACTGTTGTTTGTGTGAGAATGGTAAAAACATTATTCCCCATTAATCATTAAAAATACAAATATTCAAAACAACGCGGGAAACTGGAATCCCCTTCAACTCGAACCATCTTCCGTTTCTCTTGGGTGTTCGAGTTAGCGGGCTGCCACTGTATTCTTTTCCGCACTGCAGATATGTGAATGGATACTAAATCTTATAATGATCTAATTTATTTCCCAGGTTGCAGCTTTGAACGATGCTTTCTCTTACGTTTATGCTATTGTTTGTGATCGAGTTGGGATGGGCCGCCCAGTGTGACAAGTGGTCTGGACCCGCTGGAACTGTTGAATGCGTTCAATTAAGGTCGTACAATAACGAATACCAGTGGGGGACGTGCGTGACGGATACTTACGTGAAGCAAAAGAGCAACCAAAAACATCATTGTATAGACCGAACTGCAACCTACTGCTGGTATCAGTGTATGCTTGAAGTGCATAACAAGGACTATGGATCAGTGACGAGTGATTGTTCCTGTACTCCCAGCAATCCAACCTCATATCCAAACACTCTCACACCTACCACATTACTGCCTCCAGAGTGCTATAGTCCACCAGGGGATTCATGTGATTGGTATCGCAACTGCCTGGAGAGGAGGTATCCCTGTGAAGCTACAAGTAATCAATATGCAATCAAATACGCTGAACATTTTTGCAAGTTGTATGACGAAAACTTTGCAAAGTTCAGTCTAAGTGGGCGAAACTGGGTTAACGGAGTTCGTAAATGCCTCCAAGTCTCACTGGTGCCACTATTGCGGCCATGGGTCGACGATCCATCCTGTAAGGAGATACGAAAAAGAGCGTTTGCCTCTCATACACCATGTTACTTGAATCCAGGAAATGGTGTGCCGTCCGTCTGTGATCTTGACTGCTCCGATTACCACCAGATCTTTTGGACCATCAAGGGTTCCTTTGTCAAAGTCGGTACAATCTGGGAATCTCTCAAGGGAATGTGGAACATAAGTGCGAAATGTGGACGGTTTGCCTCCATCAAGAAATGCTTCAGAAAGCGGAAAGATAGCCCAGTGATAGTGACCAAGCTGGAGATTAAAAAGTTTATTCCGCGATCAAGGCGCTCAACTTATAATCTTCCTGAATCTGATGCTCAAAGTCGATTCGCAGACGGTGTTGCCTCAGCCATTGCGAGTGCCTTGAAGTGGAACTCAGACGTAATGGACTGGCTCGCCTACGTTGAGAGAGTTGAAGCTCCAGATAACATGGAAATTGTTGTCTTATTAGTTGATAAGAAAGCCCTGGGTATCGCCATTACATCCACTCCATCCATTAACTTAAACGAGACCATCCAAGAGTTTGCCTCAGCTGTACAAAAGGGAGCACTAACTTTGAAAGTGGATGGAAACAATATCTGGGTGAAGAGCTTGGCCTCGTGTTCTGATAAAGCCTGCACCAGCACCCAGACACTGGCAATGTCAGACAAGCCTCCAAACTGGAATGGTGCGGTGAGGATCTCAGGTGGTAAAATTGTCTTTTATGGAACCATCGCTGTGTTGATCACGATGATGGACAAACTACTTTACTGAAAAGATACTCACATCTGTCAAGAAGATTGAGTTTTTCTATTTACTGAGCGTAAGAACATAGACTTATCATACGTAGTAGTTGTTCTAATGGTCTGTCTCACGCTGGGTTTTGTGCTTAATGCCTTCGAGCTGAAACTTTTCGATTCCCTATCTGTTGCCAAAAAGCTTCACGAAAACGTACACCTAGGTAGTTTTACTATTGCAATGCTTGCAACAAACGGAGCGATTTTTAGCTGCAGCATTTTGGACCCAGTCATGACCACGAATCAATTCTGGACCACAAAACAGCTGCCCTTTTCTAGAGCTTACGAGAAAGAGCATATCAAATACTGTGGCAAATCAACGAGTTGTTTTCTAGATTTCAAACCTTTCGGTGTTATTCTTACTATGAACAGGCTTCAATGTGTAACAGGCCCTTAAATTAGCTGAGAGTTATTCGAAGCCGTAGGATATAGAGGATAAATAATTATAACCAAGCACAGAATCTCATTTAATTTCATTGGATGGTAGTTACACAAATATTACGCGTTGCTAAAGGTAGAGCAAAATCTATTTGCCCGGTAGATGGGAGACGTTTTTAGAGAAATCACTCACAAGTTACGGTAGCCAATGTTTGATTATAGGATGAAATCAGTGCGTCTTATAGTGTAGTGTCTCTCGCCATTGGAAGGACAAATAGATAGGGTGCCGTTGTTTCCCTGATAAAAAGTGAGTAAAAACAGACTCACCTCACCCAGATTAGTTTATGAATATTAATCATCATATAAAGGCCTTTTTTTTTTAATTGATATAACCTACTTATACCTGATTACACGCATTTAGTCGCGATTTTTCGTCTGTTTTTTTTTATTTGTAGTCTCAGCTTAGAACTTTAGCTGTAAAGATCTTGCTATTTCGAATATTCTTATTGAAATAAAGTAAATAAAGCTATTGTATAAACGTCTTAGACTGTTATAACCATTGTTAACCATTAAAGTAATGAAAGATTGGGAATGACTTGTTTATCTCGCACTACTCGTTTTCAAGAACGTCCCCCCCCTTTACACCCCTTTTACCTGTTTGTTATTGACTTCTTATGCTCTTTTCTCAGTCGTTTCGCCGCGTTGTTTCGTTTTGGTCATTTTGGTGCTTTTACTTGTTTCTTGATTTTCGTTTTGCTGTTTCGGATGTTAGCATATGCCCTGACGAAGGACTAACGCTCGACACGTCAAAGAAACGGTGGACGGTGGACGGTGGACGGTGGACGGTGGACGGTGGACGGTGGACGGTGGACGGTGGACATTATCAACTCTATAAAGCCAAATAATCTTGTAATGTCTTCGAGAGTATATAAATCGTGCGCAAGGATTTATGGGAAGGAAAAGGAAGGGAAGGAAACTTTTTTTTTCAGTCTATGAATTAATTCTAGCCTTCTAGGGCAAGAATTTACCTTCTATTGCCCAGGGTTAAAAACAAAACAAAAAAAAACAACAAAACAAAACAAAACAAAAAAACAGCGTTTCAGTTTTCTTTTAGTTTTGAGTAAAACAAAGTTAGTTCTTAAAATTCAGCTTACAGGTATTATACCAACAGCTCTTATAACGAGATATTGAACCCTAAAGCAAAGCAAAAATTAAAGGTACAGTACTGAATTTAACACACTACTATACGTTTATCATGAGCTACAAACTCCTTAATATTTGCTTTCGTGGGTGATTCTATATTATAGCTATATATATAACCTATTTGTTACTTATCCCTTTTCCATATTTGATATATTATAATTGAGTAGTCTCATACGGCCAAGCGGTAACAATTATACGGCAAGATCTGGATACGAGATTAATAATTAGGTACCTAAAGGACCAGTCAATATTTATCACCGGGGGAGGGGGGAAGGATGTTTGGGGAGGATCACGTGGTTTTTAAGGGGAACGGAGGGGGATCAGTCGTCACTTGCATGGTACAAACGGGGGGGTGCCTATAGAAAATTGTCTGCCAATGAGGGAGGATCACTAGAATATCATCCCCCGGGCGGCCTCTAATTACGAGGTAAACGATACCAATCGCTCTCATTTCACATAAAACAACCTGTATTAACATTCCTGCTGTTCTAAGCCAGCAAAAAGCATCTAATTATAAAAACTATAAATGAATGCTGAATTTGCACGTATAAAAGCAAACCTCCCTGCAACAGAAAAGTTGCCCCAAGGCCTCAACTATTTACTCGTTAGCCTCTTTAAAGCCATACTACTTCTACATCATTCGCTTTTTTGCGCCTGCGCAGCTCAATCCTTTTCCCACAGTAAGGTATCCCATAATCGTCTTCGGCCGCCTCAGCTTCTTCGATGGTTTGGTGCATAGGAGAAAAGAGTGTCTCTGGAATCCAATACATTAAAATCCCAGCGAGCGTTGCAACCACGCCAAAAATCACAACTGGGAAGACAATGCTGAGGCCTGGAAGCTGACTCTGGAGGGAGAAGATCGATACAATCATTTCAAAAGTGTTTGAGATCGCAAAGCTCTTGAAGCTTGTTAGCAAGATGAAGATAAGCCGAGTGGCGACATCTTGGGCCGTTGATGCTTGTTGTGTAAAACGTTTTTTTTTAATTATATCTCTCAGTGAGTACGTGCGCCATGATTGGTCGATTTCACCGTACGACACGCTAAATTAAAAAATCTGTTTCAAGCGAAATTTCCCCCCTCTATTTGAACTCAGAGATATAATGAAGATCTCACTGGCTTCGTTTTCTCGGTCCGCAAATTGTAAGTTATGGAACCTTGCTTTTTTTTTTAGACTTGGATTTATAGCATGCGCACTTCGCACATGGGTCATAAATCCGAGCGGGAAAATTATCTTGGTCCGTTACTAACAGAATGCACCTCGAACTTGGTTGGTAAGGGATATGTATTTCATGGGAAAAAACGGACGGTTTCTTACCATCAAAACAACATAAGGCGCCAATATTCCACCAATCCGTGCACTAGTTGACCCTGTACCTTGACCCGTGTTTCTATTGAAATAAAAAAGGTAAGTTGTACGAGTTTTCAAGACCAATTAAACTGCGCAGCGGAAAACAAAACAAGTGCCTCATCAAACGCAGACGTTCAAATGAATTTGCCCTCCATGATTACCTGAGAACGGTTGGAAACAACTCAGAGGTCATCAAGTAAATACTTGTCCAAGTGCAGTCGATCAACAGGTATCCAAAGAGGGACAATACCGTTGTTGCCACGTCAGATTCTGAAAAGATATTGATACAAAAGGCTTCACTCAGCTGACCATTAACAGACCCTGGTTCGGTCAAGTCTGGAACTTGTTTTGGTGTCACCAAAAGACACTCAACGAGATAGCGAAGCATGCTAACCAGCCCTCTTGGTCTCACTTTTTAGAGAAAGGTCCACATCTACTATACTCCTTTCCAGACATCACGCGGTCAAGGATGCAAGAGTGAAAGCCTGGAGACGAGTGTCGTAATTCAAAACCAAAGAGAAATTTGTAAAAGAGCAAGTTAGAACTCAAAGTAAAGAACAGAAAACTGCCCGAGGTGCAGCAAAACATGATCCGATTAGCATTGTTGTTGCGTTCAATTTACTGAGATGGTAAAGTGGGATTGATGCGAAGTAACGCATCCCAAATGCAATGTTAGATTACTTTACACGCTTAAGTTTGTTATAATGTATTACCTTACCTTTGTGCACCAGCAAAACCACGAGAAAGATAGCGCCTACGAGGATCATGATAATGCCATGACAAATACGGCGACCAAATCTGAGTATAATACAATCACAATAAGAATCCCCAGCAACAGAAACCTGACATACAGCCGCCCAACGGTAATTATGACCGACACTTTTCCATACGATGTGGCGTCCAATCATTTTTTCATTTGACCCACAGCTAACAGCACAACGCTTGAACACCCAAAGGTGGTGGTATGTCCAAAATTCAAATGCGCTTTTTTCCTTTCCTTCATTACAAATTTTCGTAGGATTTTGTTAAATGAGAATTTGTTGTTAAATCAAGAAAACACCGTTTATTTGATAAATCAATGTGTTACTTATTTTACTGTAATCTAAGATAAAATATTTCCTGCGGAGCTGAAAATGGAAAGGATTGAAGTTTAAAAAGTCGCAATACTTGATGTAGAAAAAACGTCCATGCTTACTTCAAATATAGAATCCACGTGACAGGTATTCGGACAATTGTGAGGATCTCCATGACAACGTAATTAATATAGAGGTCACCGACCAATTGGGAGATGAATATGAACATCCCAAAACTGACCAAGGCTACCACAAACCTGCGTGAGCAACAGATAAAAACTCTTTTAGAGCCGTTCCTGACACCGGGGATGCAGTATTTTAGGGACCATTCACTTTTTTTTCGTCAGAGAGGGGAGGGGGGAGGAGGATTTTTGGGGTAGCTCTTGGTTTTCAAGAAGAATGGAGGGGGTATCAGTCATCCGGCGCTAACAACAGAGTACAAATAGGGGACTATAGAGAATTGACTGCCAATTAACTTCTAAAGTGGGGCAACCACAAGAATATGATTGATCCTTATGAGGGGGGATCTGGTAAATTTGATCGTGACGCAACCAAAATCCTCCAACACCCTCTCCTCAGGAGGAGAGACCCTGGGGACAGAGACCGGTTCCTTAGAAAACGACTATGTTGACCTTCTCTAAATTAAGTGATAGCAATAACAACGTATTGGATGAAAGCACAAGTACCTCACGACTAACTTTTAGTTACCCTTATCGGATTAAAAAAAGTACATGCACACGATAATATACATGTTTGTTTGTTTGTTTTTTTATCATACCATTGATAACAGATGATTGCTGTCCATTTCCTAAGCTTTGGCGTAAGAAACATGTGGATGGGATTATACTTTTTAGCTGTCTTTTCTCGCTCGATCTGTTCCCTTCTCACTTCCTCCAACAGAGATCGTATCACCTCCGAATCTAAAGGTTTCTCATCTTTGCTCCCAAAAGCCTCGATGATGGATTTAGCCTCGTCCAGTTGGTCGTGAGCGACAAGCCATCGGGGGGATTCTGGAATAAGCCTATGGAATTGCAAATCAGATTTTGTTAGTCCATCACTCTAAAGATTGGTGGATTTTGGTTAGAATGTTAGTCAACAAAACAGTCTCATTCTAGGAGTGTCAGTCAGAAGGCCAGTCAGTTAGCCAGCTGGCGAGTCAGTCTGTCAGTCTGCCAGCCAGTCAATAAGTCTGTAACTCAAATCGTCAGTCAGCAAATTAGCTGGCCAATCAGTCAGCCAATTTGTCAGTTAGTCAGTGAGCCAGTGGATCGGTCAGTCAGTGAGCTAGCCAATCACTCAGTGAGTGAGTGAACGAGTCATTCAGTCAGTTAGCCAACCAATGAGTCGGTGATTCAGCGAGTCAGCGAGTCAGCGAGTCAGCGAGTCAGCGAGTCAGCGAGTCAGCGAGTCAGCGAGTCAGCGAGTCAGCGAGTCAGCGAGTCAGCGAGTCAGCGAGTCAGCGAGTCAGCGAGTCAGCGAGTCAGCGAGTCAGCGAGTCAGCGAGTCAGCGAGTCAGCGAGTCAGCGAGTCAGCGAGTCAGCGAGTCAGCGAGTCAGCGAGTCAGCGAGTCAGCGAGTCAGTGAGTCAGTGAGTCATGAGTCTGTGAGTCGGTGAGTCGGCGAACCTGTCTGGCAGTCAGCAAACAAAGAAGCAAGCGAGAGAGACAGAGATAAAAGGAACACGTTGTTATTATGTACGTACTTCCAAAATGGGAATAGCAAAGCAGCCGGAACACTAGCTATCAAACTCAGATTCCTCCAGTCGCGTTCAAGATAAGCGATGAGGACAAACAACATTTGGAAGCC